TATGAATTTTGATGAATAAATTTTCAAAGGTTGTTCAATTTTTCTCAGTTTTTCTTTTCATTGCCAAACTCATGCTGGAGTCATTTTGATTGTACATATGTCTTCATTGCGTTTTCATTTATGAGTTGAGATATATTTCCTCCTTGCCTCAACCTGGCAGTTTAATTTAAACTAACAGTGGCTGATGTGCAAATTAATCCTTCTAGTAATTTTTAATTAATTTTTCCTTTTGTTTTTTATTTGACCACGTGTTATATTGCCTTTACTTTTTTTTACTGAAAGAAACTACGAACTGGGTACGAAATTACGGGGCCCGAGTGAAGCGAAAATTCTCTTAACTTAACCGTCGACCCAGTTGCCTTTTCTTTGTTATTTAAACGAACTGAAACAGATCTAGACGAAGAAGGCTTAAGCATTTTTTGACTTAGTAATGAGGTAGGCAGGTTTAGTTTTATTCAACGTAAACGCTTTGCGAAACAGCTGAAGACTTTATTACTTCTCCTGGATTGCGGAAGAAGGGATAGTTTTTGGACCATACTTTTAAATCTGTTTAGGTTTCTTTGCTTCATTAATATGCACAAATAGTAAATTCATTGCCCTTGTTCGCGTAGGACAATTTATTTTAAAATGAAACACGGCTAGAGACTTAAATGAACAATTAACAAGAACTGATTTACCATTTTTGTCTTTCAAAAATCCTTTTCTTGTTTCCAAGAACTTTAATTCTCCCGCTGTCTGAAAAGCAGAATTCATAACTGTAGTAACAGAAGAAATAACAACTTCTGCAAAAACAGAGGAGTACAGATTTTTTGTGATTTTGCCGGTCTAAAAAATCCGTTTTCTCACAGTGGGCAAATATTTTAGTAAGGGACGAAATACTTCCGGAACTTAAGTACAGTAGCTGACTGCTAATAAAGGGGTTGGAAAGGGGAATGAACAGATTACTCCAGAAATTCAATTGAAAGGAATAAAACTAACAAAAACCAAGCTAAAACTTCTAGTTTTTAGTTGAAGAGGTCATTGACACCGTTTACATTGAAAGTCCCTCCAAAATATTACCTCATTAACTGAAAAACGCTCTTTCTTAGGTTCAAAAACCCTTTTCCTATACCACTTGTAAACTTGATTGTCTATATTTGCTATTTCTGTCTGTGATATACAGTAGTTTCTTTGCTTTTTTCGGTTTTCACTTTCTGCTCCGAGAGAGTTCTGTATAATATATTAATTTCGTCTTCTCAACCTACATGTGTTGTCATTACTGAGATCTTTAACATAGTTCACAGTGTTATTTCTTCACCGTCTCTCTTCATTTTTAACATGGTTACCAAAAAACTTCGTTCCCGATAATCAGAATATTCATTTTCATGAATGTTTTAATGTTGTGGAGCAGCGTAGCTGTACCAACCGTTAATTGTTCTTTGCTTGAATATATTTTATATGATGCTTGTTTGGGCATTAAAGTCACAACATAATCAGTTTAGTACCAGTACAGCGTTAATCTCACTTGCATTATGCATTTGGAACAAAAATGTACATTTACGACGAGATACGCACTTAGTAGTAGCTGATGAAATTCAACGGTACTCCTTGACCTCAAATCTGCCACAGCTATGCTACTTGCTCAGCATCACCTTCAACTGAATGGTATTAGTGTCACCATCAATGTCACTCGAAACACCACAGAGCAACCAGGTTATCATATAAATTTAGCGTCTTTGTAGTATGGAGGCTTTACCACGAAGGCGCTACAGAAAATTCTTCATTATTTCAAGTCAGTTGGATAAGAATTTAATCCCAGAGTTAAACCCTATTCTCGTAAGCAACTCTGCGATGAACTAACCAGTCCCTAATGCCGTAAAACGATTGTACTTCAAGCCACCGTCGTCTGTATCTGAGTAAAAGGAGAAATGAAAGAGCCATTTACAGAATAGGAAGGAGCGCTTATAGTTCAAGTCTTCAGATTCAGAGGCACATCAGCGACGAGCAGCAGTCATAAGAAGTGTGGACCAAGATTAGGATATGGTTGAATAATCGTAATTCCAATAATTAAAATTTTGTTTCCCAAAAGTAGGGTAAGAAATAGACCTCAGAATTCCAATTGCCGTCAATTCCAGCAAAAAAATAATGGTACTTCCAATTTCTGAGACTCGGGAATGAATCTGCAGAAATGTTGTTACGTTTTAACTAAAAACATTTTCATTCGGAATAAAGACATACACTAGTAGAAGACGGTAGAAAATGCAGTGCTAACTTGAAAGTCTTTTGATGGAGCAAACTGCTACGACCGGTCAGTATGAGTTCACTCGTAATATCTGCAATGTGAACCTCTCGCACCTTTCTCTTCAATTTTCGACAGGTAATCATTATTCTAATTATAAGAGAAGCACGCTTTCCTAAATGAATCAATAAAACACCCCAACTGGCGTATGCCCACGCAGAATCTAGCTAATAACAATTTAAATAATTCCGCAATTAGAGCTTATCTAAGCAAAACCTGAACTATCTCTTTTAAACAAAACTGTAACACAAACCCTCACTCAACACCATGCGCACTGGTCCTTACTGCCAGTAAAGCTCCTTCATTGACGAAATCGCAACCAGGTAGTTTTTAAGGTCCCGATAAAAGTGAAAAACAGGTACTCGGCGTGAATATACAATACTTGCACCATCTGCCACAACGTGGTAGTAATAACCCAACACCATACAGCTACCGTATACAATGGAAGAATGCCTTATCACAGCTGAAAAAGCTCTGCCGTAAGCGGTTTCTCCCATCTGTTACTTTAAGAACTACAGTACTGGGAACCATCCTGAAATTTCCGTCTGGTCTCTGGGATTATGTCTCGCAGTCAGATCTTTGTTAGCCATGCGTTTTTTTTTTTTACACTTTATGGTAATTGCAGAGGAAGCGGTAAGTGCAGCTATTTGCGAAAATTTTTTGTCGAAAAAACGTAGAAACCAAGTTCCAAAACGACTCATTCCACCCTTGTGGATATTGGAAAACGTCACTTATAAATACTGCAAGCTTCTAAAATGATATTTTTCGCTACTTCCACACTCGACTGTTTGCTGCACCATCACTAATCCGAACCCCTTTGTAATTATACTCCCAATGTCGAAGTAAGCAATAGAAATCAAAGAACCTAAACCAGGCTCACGTAACCATAACGGGAAATAACTAGTAAAGATCCGTTCTCAGCTGCGAGTTCTCGTACGTGACAAACCCGTCATCGTAACTCTTCGTCCAACATACTTCTGGTAGATATTTAGAAAAACGGCCTGCAGTGTCAATACTGTGCCAGTTTACCCGGCAAACCCTACCGCATGAACTTCAAAAAATACCTCTTCACTCTACTCTCTGAAATACCAGTAAAGCTGCATATAACGGTAATAATGTTCACGGCACATGATTCTGTACAACCCGTGTAGCTCATGGTCCCCTGAAAAACTTTGAACACTACAGGATTGCTAGCGTAACATCACATATCCGATACTCACCTCAAGTACAACAGCAAGGCTCAATTCATCAAGGTTTAAATTAGAGGAGATGAAGAGCCAAAGTCAAGACCATGCAGTAAGTTTTGTGAACTTGCTAGCTGCTTAGCACAGTTACTCGTTTCCTGGTGCTAGTTGTCGCTCATTAATGTGCTGTTCCTCAACCTATAGTGACACCACAGAAGTTAAAGGATACCTTTTAAGACGGAATCTCATAAATCTAGCCTCCTCTCTAATAATTTCCAGTAGTTACACAACTTAAATGTGTTCATGCACAGAGCCTCAACATCAAACCTAAATGCTATTAACAGATTCCTCCCAGCTGAAACATCGCAAGTTAAACAAAACCAACAATTGCATAAACAGTTAATTTGTTTCTTCTATTAATTGTTACAGAAGTAAACGATGATACTGGTTTGTAGACACAAAAACAGTCAAACCTTTAACAGCGACAAACGTTCAGAAATTTAAAGCAAAAAAAGATGAGCGACTTCTAGTCGCACCACGTCCAATCTGAAAGGTAACTGGTTAGGAAAACATCTGCAGTCTCTTCTGAAGAGAAAAACCGTCTCGTGAAGCTCTCACAACACTAAATACCGAATATACGTTTAGTGACTCTTGCCACTTCCTCATGGATGACGGGCTATAACTGCTTTGTTTACTACATATCTAATACTGATATTAACAAGTCTCACGCGCCAGGTCCGATCCATGTCCTCTAAACAAAATGAACATTCACAGCTCTGCGCGACTTAAAGGAAGAATACTTCCAGATGCCGGTTAATTTCGGGAGCAACTACGCTTCTCAGCACAAAGAGAGAAACTTCACTGACTAAGTGTTGTCGGAAAACAATCTTTTCTAATCAGATGTGATGTCACCGCTACAAATTGCTTCTTGCTCAAAGCAATCTGTAACTGCAGGTCACAAAAGCTGCGAAAACGCATTTATCCTCCTCATAAAAAGCCGACCTCTAAATACCAAATCTTGATGTCGGCTTTTATAGAGGGGGTCAGAGTGCCTCTGGTAAAGCATGTTCGCTGCTTGACACTTTCTGGTCCATCTAGCTCTGCTGATATCTTCTTCAGCATTCGGCGAAGCTACAAAGCAATCTACCTTTTTTCGCAATACCGAATCAAGTTCGCATCCATTTCATCACTCCGTCCAGCTGCACGCAGCCGAATAAAGACGGGCCGCAGTGCGCTGTTTCAGACCGCCGGAAACCAGAAACACTGCAGTCCATCATTAGATTCTGAGCAGTCTATCGCTCACTACACTGCGGAGCTGTTAACACAAGCAACGAGTAGATGTGAATGAACTACTGTTCAAGATTTCCGATGCTGAACTACAACGGTATCGCAATTAAAGAAGACAGCAAACGAAGTCGCCACTCACTACTTCGAAAATACATTTGCAAAAGCAGTGTGACGCCCAAGCCACACCCCCTCCGCACGGGAGAGCTCTATCCCTGGCGACCTCCAGTTTTGGGCGGGAATTTTTAGTCTGCGAGACAAGGTGCACTAACGCAGTACTTTTAATAAAGCTTTTTGTTATTGAGAAATTCCGCGCAACAGCTTCTGTCTTCGTTCGACTCTGCTTAATCGAGACACTGGACATCTACATTACAACAAAAATCTTTAAACGATGGTTCAGTGCTTGCACTGATTGCTACTGCTAATTTTATTTATATACCCACTAAAAATTTATTTCGGCGCTACGAAGTGGGTGGCTGGCTGGCTG